TTTTTTTTTTTTATACTTGATATATTAAATGTTGCCTTCAGATGTCTGGAAAGGCCATCCAGTGCTTTATGATCCTAATTTTCATTTGCCTTTCTCAGTTGGGAGCTGAAAGTGCTTACAGCATTGGTGCTGTGTTAAATAGCACAAAGATGAGCGTGGAAATTAGCTTGAAAATAGAGAAACTGCAGGTCCAGTTGAGTTAGTTTTGTTTGGGTTTTTAGTGATGTTACGTTGAAAAGGCTATCTTATTAATAAACAGATAATCCCTGAAGATAAGAGGCAGAATCGTATAATTCCATGAAGATTTAATGTTTATTTGAGCAAGCATCCAAAATAAGAGTTTCAGGGTTGCCTTGGGTTCCGAGTCAGTTGCTATTTGCAGCTCGGAACATGTCTCGCCTGTGATTGTCTCCACAGCCAGTTTCTTCCTGGCCGCAGTCAACTTTCAGATCCTCTGTCCACCGCACTTCCCGTGCACTCCTGCCCCTCACTGCATGCGGTAAAGTTCTCTCTCTCTCTCAAAAATAAATAAAATTAAAAACAAAAATAAAAATAAAGAATTTCAAAATATGGGTTTTTATTATCATGAATTAAGAAATACTTATTTTTCTGAATAAAATTTGGAACCTCGGTTTAAACACCCAAACGGGTTTCCATGTATGAAAAAAAAAAAAAAAAAAAAAAAAAAAAAAAACAACCAAAAACCCTAACTACCTCAGCAAGCAAATGGCTTAATTACCTTGCAGGAAAAACAGGAAATACCTTGGAACAAAACTATGTTAATTAAGAACAAATCTGAGAGTTGGCAAGCATTTTATACTTTCATTATATTTGAAATTAAGACAGTTTTAGCCAATCCTCTACTTTTTAAGTAAATAATAAAACATAATTTGGTAGTAGGAGCAATAACAACAAAAAAGCAACTAACATATAGTATACATAGGGTGGTAGGCACTATGTTAAACACTTTGCATCCATCAGCTCACATATTATACCTTATTTATCCCATGCTGTAATAAATATCTATCCAGTTTTATTCAAGCCAAGTCTTTATATGGTGATTTACAGGCACAATACTGAATTTTAATACCTAAAAAATGGGTAGGAAAATTATGTTCAGCAGTTGGGAATTTTGCAAAATACAACAAATTACTAGTTGAGATAGGCTGGCTACATAGAATCAGTTCATGGAAAACTTTAAAAGCCAAACCAACAGGGGCACCTGAGTGGTTCAGTTGATTAAGCGTCCAACTTGAGCTCAGGTCATAATCTCACAGTTCATGGGTTCAAGCCCTGCTTTGGGCTTGTGCTGAAAGTGCAGAGCCTGCTTGGGGATTCTGTCTCTCCCTCTCTCTCTGCCCCTCTCCCACTTGTGCTCTCTCTCTCGAAATACATAAATAAACCTTAAATAAGTAAATAAATACGAAACCAACAAGTGCAGAATGCAATTTGCAGGCCATGAGGAACCATTTAATACTTTTAAGTACAAGAAGGACAGGAGGAAATCTGCACTAAATAGCCTTTTAGCTCAGGAAAGGGAAGAAGATACACTAAAATATCTGAGCTTCTGGTCCCCAGCCTTGATCTTAAATAATTGTCACTGCCTTTTTATCTGCCCACTTCATGACCTCCCTAAGGTTTCTCCAATATTAAATCTCTTCCAATTATAACTGTTGCTGAAATTTTAATTCTTCCATAAAATCTTCCTGAACCCTATTCTCATTAGTTAGAAGACACATCTACTTCCCATAGTTAAATGTTAACTTTTTTCCCTGTGACTGACTCCTCTGTTTGGATGACTACAAGTTAGCTCCTTAAAGAGTACAAATAGCCTGCTTCCACTTTTCTCCTTTTTATCTTATTTCCTATTCAGATCATAGCACTTAATACAGCTTTCAATGATTTTACATTTTACTTTTGTTTATTCCCTATTTATATCGTTTCATCGTCTATCACAACTTCCAAGTATTTTTATACTTCAATTATTTTATCTTTACTTTTATTTACTTCTCCCCAAGTGACATGTAAGCTCCCTAAAGGGATGAACTCTGTCTTCTTTGTATTTGTATGTTTAGCACCTTGTATAATGCCTGACTCATAGTAGATGCTCAATATTTGAATGAACCTAGATTTCCTACTAGAGCCTACATTAGAATACAATGTATTACAATAGAAATGCCTTAAGTCAAAATTCTGTTCATATATAATTGTTATCTCATGCCCCCCCTCCAAAATCATGGAATGACTGGAATAGGTAAATCATAGATTTTCCATTATGGAAGCACTAAATATATTATTTGAGTAATTAGGAAAATTTGGTATCATTTAAAAGCATATAGCATTTAAAATTTTTTTTAAAAATTTCAGGGTGCAGAGGGAGAGGGAGAAGGAGAGGGAGAGGGAGAGGGAGGGAGGGAGAGGGAGAGAGAGAGAGAGAGAGAGAGACAGGGTGAATCTTAGGCAGGCTCCACGCTCAGCATGGAGCCTGACCCAGGCCTCAATCCCATGACCCTGGGATCATGACCTCAGCCAAATCAAGAGTCTGATGCTCAACCAACTGAGCCACCCAGGCACCCTTGTATGATTTTTTAAAATAAAGGTACAGCTAAGTAAAAAGCAGGCATAAATGGCTGATGTTTAACAAGTAACAACAAGTAACATAAATAACGTACTTAACAGTAAGGACAACATAAGCTCCATGGAAGAGCCTAATAAGCCAGAGAGAGATCACAATAGCTTTCATTACAAAGTTCTGATCTGAGCTGTGCTATAGAGGATGGACAGAATCAGAAAGTTAGGAGGACAATTTTTACAAAAATCATAAAGTATTTATTGCACAAATCACATTCTGGAGAGTAACAAACCATTCTGTATTGTTCATATGGAGAAGGACAACTGAAAGAAAGGCTGAAATTAGCTGGTAAAGTGGAAGTCTGTCAATGATATTGGACATTTTTACTTAAGTGAAATGGTTCCTATCCAACAAGAAGAGTAGGAGGCAGCTAGTGTACTAGAGAGAGCATAGAAAGGCCTAAAACTGCAGCTTGTAAACTTACCAGTTTTGTGGACTTCAGTATGTAACTTAATTTTTCTTTAATATTTAAGTAATCTCCACACCCAATATGGGGCTCGAAGTTACAACCCCAAAATCAAAAGTCCCATGCTCTACTGACTGGGTCATTCAGGCAACCGTTAGTCATGCAACTTAAATTCTTTGAGCTCTGTTTTCTGCATCTATAAGATGCAAATAGTATCTGACTTGTATGAATGAAGATAATGTATATAAAAAGCTTAGCAGAGTCTTGATACATAGAAGGGATACATAGAATAAACAGCACCCATTATTAAATTTTATGCACTATGTAAGCTCTTTTAGCGTAGGGACTACTTTTTATTCACAGTTGAATTGCCAATGACTACTAGATGCCCTGGCACATAGTAAGACACTCAAAAAATAATTGTTTATGGATGAATTTTGACTCAAATAGAAGTTTGAATTGAAAACTAAAGAATAAGAACCTTTTTCCGTGGTAACAAAGCTATTAAACATTTTGAAGACAACATGCTAAAACAAATTGGGAAAAAGAAGGCCTGGAAAAGATACCGGATTTGTCCTAGATCATGCCAGAGGGACAGAACAGATCTGATTCCAAATTCCCACATTTTAAACACTATACCACAAACCTTTTCATTGGATCATAAGAGTATAGGTTTCAGATTTCCATTTACTAAAACTAAGTCTCATTTCTGAAAAAAAAAATAACATTAAGATGTCTCATTACAGCCTCTTAGCATATCCTCCATCACTTTCACTAATATGAATGACAGAATGGGAAACACAGCCTCTTAGAGTAGAAGTGTACATCTGCATTTTCTGCATGTGTACTCTCCTAATCAAGTGTTAGCTTATACACAAGAAGCGGTGAAACAAGCTTTGGAGAGACAAACCTGGGATCAATTTTCTGGCCTAGCGATGAGTGACATGAAGCAAAAATTACTTAACCTCTCTGGCCTCTCTTTCGTTATTCGGTAAGTGAAGATAATGCTACCTGTTTCAAGGATTTGCTACAACTGATAGGAGTTATGAATTCATACATGATCGGTGCGTGATGACGAAGACACCATACACATAGCACAGTGGACTGCAACACAAAAGATGCACAATCTAAAATTTACGTTCAGGCTACTTCCGATGCAGTCTTTAGACATGATCCCAAAGAAAATACTATGAATCTATTTCACAAGGAAGCCACAATCTCAACAATGAGGTGCTAAGAAGAAAGGCAAAACACAGAATACGATGTAAACAGTGAAAAGAAACTTAGTGGATAACAAGTCACTCCTTGCGTGAACTACGGTAATTTATTTACAAAGACCAAATCTTTGTATCCCCATCATTGAGCCCTGCGCCAGACACTAGGCGATTCCATAATGTTGCTGAAGACCAAGAGTGGCATTCGGTTTAGCAACACCACAATCGCTGCACAAAATGGAGAATATTCGGGGTAGTGCGTTAGATGAGAACAAGGGTAGGTAGGCCTTAGGATCATGGTCGCGGGACCAGAAAGCCAGGTTCCGCAGTAGATAGGGAAAGACAGCGGGGCGAAGGGCAGGGGAGAGAAGCGGGAACCGCGCACGCGCATTCGCGATCCCTCCCTGGGCCGCGGACCTGCTGCGCCAGGAGCTGCCGCCGTAACTTCTGCCGCTCCCGGATCTCCTGCAAGCGGCTGTCCATATCCCAACTCTTGTTTCCCACTGCCCCGAAAACTTGACAATTAGCAGATGAGTACCCTCCCAATTTTTCACCGGCGTCTGTGGAACAAGATTCGCCAGGACCTTCAAGCAGCAGGATGTCCCTTAGCCCTTTCTCAATAGGTATTTCCGGCGCGGCCAGGATTGGCTCGACTTAGCCGGAAGTCCCACCTCTTTCTGGACGCCCGTGATTTGGCGCCGCCAGGAAGGGGCCCAATGAGGGATGTTGTGGCGGCGGCGGAGTCTCGGAAGACACTCGGAGGTTAGGCACCGTGTCTCTCTGAGGTTAGGCACCGTGTCTCTCTGAGGTGGTACCCTCAGCCCACCTCTCGCTTGCGTTCTCTTCTGTGGTGTATCAGCACTGTTTACGAGGTGTGGGGCGTTTCGTTAATTCTTTTTTCCATTAATTCTCCAGTTGCCAGTACTGACGGTTTAAAAATTGCCAGATAGCAGTCTTTCACTGGAAGCACAAACTCGAAGCAGAGTGCGAAGTTTGAACCCTGGACGATCCTTTACTAGGAGAATAGCCTTGTCTAGTTAATCGCCTCCTGAGTCCCAGTTTTGTCATTTGCCAAATGGGAATAATAAATGCCTATCTCACAAAACTGTGAAGATTGAAAGAATAAAAAGGGCCTGGCACGTAGCACCATGGAGATGTTTTAAGATTTTTATTATTATGTTTCCCTTCAAGCTGGGAACCACCTGTGATCCTTACCTCACTAGCTCTTGAGAAGTTTCCTATTTCATCATAATGCCGTATGGATACGGCGTATGGAAAACTATATGGTTTCTTCCCTTTAGGGAAGTAGGTGGAGCATAGTAAAATGTGGTCTTGGTTCATGTCCTAGACGTCAGAGACTAGGGGACCACTTTTGTGCTTATACATTTGTCTTAGCTGGAAATAACCCTGGGATATAGAAACACCCTACTGGAATTAGGGAGGGTGAGGGTGGGCAGGGCACAGTGGGGATTCTTCGTAGAACAGCAACAAAGGCCAAAGTCTTAAATTATTACTATTATTATCCACCACATTTGTCGTCTTATTCCAAATTCAAAGCAGCAGAAGTAGACTAAGACATCATGTTGCCTCAAGTTTAATTGGAAATGGTGGCAAGTACTTACCACCATTAGTAACAAGTCTTTATTCTGTGAGAGTGAGTTTTCTTTTGGAAATTTATTAAATCCTCCAGATTAGAACCAGGTGACTCAGACGAGGCCAAAAGTGGGCAGGACTAGATTCTACTAATTATCCTGTGTTTCTCAAGAACTAGCTCTGAATGGCAATTTCAGACGTGTTCTGAAAATCCCTTGGGTAATAGCAACACTGTTTGAAAGTATATTAACTTTCAAGTGGCCAGTACTTTAAAAGACAGTACTAATTTGTACATATGAATGAAAGTGTTTCTTTAAAATCAGTTGCATCTCCTGCCAATCATTTGAGTACTGATTTGAATTATTTAACAGGATAGGAATAGGCATCAGTTCATTCAAATATTTATCCATATTTACTGAGTATTTTAAGTTGCACTTAACTGTGATAGACCCTAGAGTCTATAAAGTCTATCAAAGACTAGAAACCAAATAAGTCTGTTTTGTTGTTGTTGCTGTTTGTTTTTGTAGAATTTACTATTTTTTTTTCTGGCAAAGTGCAGTGTAGGTCATTTGCCTGTGGTCCTTGAGCCCCATATGCACCTAAACTCTGCTCTGTGATCATAGTTGACCTGAGTGTGAGTCTGAAAACTACATTTCTCAACCTTGTCATATGGTTCTGTAAGATTCTTCCAAGAGGAAGCATAGGCAGAAAAGCAAAAGGTGGAACACGGAAAGCTGTTATTCTTCATTTCCTCTCACTCTCTGCTTCTGGTCTCCAGGGGAATATCTGTGCCCTTAAAAAGTCCCAGAGCCAGTTGTAGCAGCCCCTCCTTGGTGGGTCTGTCTTCCCTTTTCCCATCCTCATGTGGCATCCCCAGCGCTGAGTTTGCTTTCTACTTTGATAACACCACCCCCACCCTCTGTTCTACCAGCTTTAGAAGTGGTAGCCACTTGCAGCAGTTAAGAATTTCTAATTTAATCTCACTTTCCCCTTTTTGCTCTTCTAGCCTTCAGCTCCCATGTTAATGCTTCCCCATAGCAAATGCTGTCTGTTTAGAATTTTAAGAATGATTTCTGTATTCTTGCCTGGCACTCAGACTTATAAAGATGCGAATATGTTCTACTTTATAGTATTTACACAGCCGTTGGAATCCAGTGGAGGATTGTTGTAGTTTTTACAAATAAAGGGATATGACTCTGAAATCTTTCTCCCTACCAATGAACTTTAAAACTCCAGACCACATCAGCTCACCCGTAGAGTACTGTACATGCCTATCAGTAATATCTGTTCATCACGGCAACCTAAAGGTCTCCAGGGAGTGTGTGTTGTGGGGAAAGGAGGAAGAAGAAATTTGGAAAGTCTCCACATATAATTTATACTTTTTGAAAAAAAATTACTTGTAGATACTTATTTTAAGGAAGTAATGAGAAATCGATGTAACAATTTATGTATATCCTCCTAAATTCCTTGAGAATGAATCTTCAAAACCTGTATATCCAACGTCCTATTGTATATCTTACTAGGATGTCCTTCACAATCTCAAACTTCACAGGGATATAGCCTAAATTCATCATCCACCCCTGTCCTCTCAAAAAAAAAAATATATATATATATATGTATGTTTGTATACACATCTCCACCCATTTTCCCTAATAAGAAGCACTGTGCCTCTCCTTTACCCTCCATATCTACTCTGTGACTGTAGCATTCTCCCTGACGCCAGCCCTAACACCAACACACATAATAGTCAACCACAACCTATGAATAATATGTGTCCTGGTTCATATCCTAATTGCCCTACCATTTTCCAGTTTATCAAATTCTTCCCAGAGATTTTTGGAAAACTATGATTTTATCATTTCCAACTCTGCTCAAAATTTTTACATGTTTCCTCAATGTCTAGGGCAGCACTTGTCCAATAGAACTTTCTATAATAATAGAAATGTGCTACCTCATAACCAATTTAGTTGCTACTAGCCATATTCATCCACTGAGCATTTGAAACCTAGCTAGTGTACTCAAGATACTGACTTTTTATTTGATTTTGACTAATTAAGTTTAATTAATCATATTTGACCTCATAACCAATTTAGTTGCTGCTAGCCATATGTATCCACTGAGCATTTAAAACCTGGCTAGTGTACCCAAGATACTGACTTTTTATTTGATTTTGACTAAGTTTAATTAATCATATTTGACTATGACTACCATATTGGACAGCACAGGTTTAGGTTCAAGGGGTTCAAAATCTAAACCACTTGGCATAACATGCTAAGCAATCCTCTGCCACCCTGCCCAGCTTCATTCTGTTCTCCTGTATGAACCCAGTCTTTCAGGCATATAAAGTTTTGTCTTTTTTCCCCAAACATGCCTCTTTCTTGTCCTTTTTATGAATTTATAATTGAATAAGAGAAAAATTGTCCTAAATTAAAGAGAGAGGCTCCAAAATGACTTTTTAAAAACTACAATATTTGGTAAGTAGAACTTCTTAGAAAAGCACTAACGGTAAAATGAATGTCAGAATCTGGTGATAACTTCTGCTTTCTCCCGGTGCCTTGTAAAGAACACACTCAATAGATGCTTATTGATGAACCTGTTGATTAGGGCTAACTCTCTCTAACTTACCTGAGCTTTGTTGGATAGATTGGTTGTGAGTAGCTGTGTTAGGGAGGGATAGGAGACTGCCAGTTAGCATTCTGTGTCTACATCATTGTTGGAAATTCATTCATTGCCATTAGGTACAGAAACTTTCCAAGTCTGTGTATTTTTTTGTACTCAGTTGCTAAGATCCAGTGCATCTGTGGCACAAGAGAATATTTTACAAGCCTTGTTTGTCACATACATGGACTACGTAAGAAACAGGAGTGAAGATTGTTTTTCTTATCACTTGTCAATAGATTTTTTTAAAGAGTATTGTGATTACATAAAAACATCTTAAAGCATTGATTTCCTGGAGTATAAAGTAAGAAGAGATACATTTCAGAAACTATATGTCATTATCAAATGGAAATGTATGGAGAATTGAATAAGCTTGATTTATTTGGGGAATTTGCACAAAACACCCAATTGTTTGGTCAAAATGACCAAAACTGACAGGAAAGTGAGAAAAGGCAAGGTGAAAAGAGTAAAATAATACAGACTTTATAATGTCAATACATTTCACTGAATAGATGAAGAAAACTATTTAAATTTTGGTTATTGTAATGTTAATTTGCTGTGTTATTGGAGAAAATCAGTTCTGCTAGAGAGCACAGAATGGAATGGATGAATCCCATAGGATGTGGTAAGTATAGATAATAAGCAAGTAGTCGTGAGACATAGGCAGGATTCATAAGATGTGCTAAAAATAGATATTAAGTAACTGATAGATGTAAAGCTAAATAGACTAAATGACTATATGATGGAACAAGCAAAAGTGTTATTTATAGATAGAAAGGGATGGAAAGACCAAATTATGATCATGCCATCTCTAGGCTGACAGCCATGTTGTTGTGGGATCGTTGAGCATCATGGTCCAGAAAGAATTTTTAAGACGTTTTACAGTCTCTAATTTAAGTAGCTTTGGGATAGGACCTGTGGGTAGAAAGAGCTGCATTTTTGCTGTATGAAGCTGGTGGTTATATGCTTAGTGCTCAAGGGGTGGGGGCACTTGCAGAGCATATTGGATCATAAAATGTCTTCAAATTTTGAATCATAAAATTGCTCTTGCAAGATTTCTGTGGTACTTATCATTCAGTTCAATATTAACTATGGGTAAGATTTACAGGTAGTCATGAGACCCTTTAAGGATGTATCAACCAGCATGTATTTGATCCTTATCGAAATTATGCAGCCTATAGGTTAGCCATCTGGGCTAAAGGTGAACATTTTTCTGCTTCTATCCCTCATCA